TGCCTGCTTTTAATGCATCCATCTGCCTCTATTTAATTAGAGTTCGTTTGATAGGCAAAGCTGAAAATAAATTATAATTCTATGTTAGTCGAAAAATAAAAATCCACCAAACCCATAGAAATTCGTTTTCCATGAAAACTAAGAAAATGTCGCTTAAAGTAGTTGTACCTTAGAATTCGATTTCAATTTTCACGTTGCAATCAAATAGCCAAAGTGGAATTCGTTTTCCTCGAATGTGATATTTTTTATGAAATTCGTTGTAATCAAACAGGAAAATTCAGGTTCTTGGTTACGAAGAACCTGAAAAATTAAGATTTTATAAGAATGGCAGGATAACTATACGTACGTACATTTAATTTTAATACACAAGTGTCCACAGCATTCAGGCGAGGTCATGTGCTTTTATATCTCCTACGTACTAGGTGATAAAAATCTAACAAACGGGTGGTTCAGCGTTTAACAAGGGGATTAAACCATTTGTAGATTGATTTTGTACATTATGGTTGACTTGCCTTTGCAAATTCAAAAGTGAATGGGCAAGAAAATGTTTTTTATTTTCAAATTGGTCAATCATGTCACGACACATGGAACAATGTAAAACCTCATGTCAACTACCATGTACATAAAGCATGATTGTTAACAAGGTGTCCCATTCCTCTCTATGCACGGGGATGATAAATCTTGTGAACGGATAGTTTAGTCAGTTGACAACAGCCAAAATGTTGTTCACTGACTCGGGATCCATGCCAATACAAAATAGTAATTTCTATTCACGAAATCCATCCAAAACACGCAGTACATAACCACATTGATAAGTGTCATTGTCACACTTGTTATTGGAATTAATGATTTAATATATACAATTTAAACGTGTGAATTGAAAAAATATCCAATTTGTGTGATTACTAGACATTACTCTTCAATTGTAAATAATGCATATTAAAGAGTTGTGTTGTTTCAGAATGGGTGTGATAATCTGATAGAGTGATATCTACGTCATTAAATTTGAAATGATGCAATTTAATGATTAAATCAAAAGATGTGATCATTCGAAGAGACACATAAAAATCTATAAATTGAACCCCTTAATTCCATTTTATTCACTCCAAATCAATTCCAAATAATTGAATTCTAATTTTTTTCCCCCTCTCTAAATTATTTCAAAATAATTTCTTAATTATTTTTAAGTGATTTGGTAACAATGAGACTTCATTTTCTACTTGGCAAATAATTTTCTTTTCTTTTTTTTTTTTGAAGTAAACAGAATTTTATTATGGTAAATCTCTATTCGCATAATGCATTATAAATTGAATAATACTACTTGTATACAAGAAATTATATAATGGTTTATATACAGATAAAGTATCAAAAAGAGAATGAAGAAGTATTTTTTTGTTTTTAAGAAACTCTAACACAATCGTATCTCACTACATTACGTGTATGTAAGTTCATTATGTATATATATAGCACAATCGTTAACAAATAACGATATGCAGTCAAATTCTGAACTACCGTTAACAAATAACGATGCCAAAGAAGCAAAGAATGCTAGATTATGAGCTACCTCGTTCCCGTTTCTCAACTAAAAACAAGAGGAGCAGCATTTCACATCTCTTAAGACAACTATAATATCACTGAGTCTAAAGTCTGATTTCAAATTCTGAATGTAGATTAAAGTATAACTCAATTTGTAAGACCAAAGTTTTACCGTGCCAATGATTGTAGTGTTTTGTTTTGTTTTATTACACATTATTATGTAATTTATTGACATTAAATATCCAACAAATTCTTAATATTATATTAAATATTGTCATAATTATGAAAAAAATTTAGTTAAGGAAATGAATTGAAATTA